AATATGTGGAGTGGCCTTCAAATAGTGTGCATAGTGTGGATTGGTCACCATATAACCTAGTCTGTCCATCAACCACACCTGATCTTCAGATTTCCACTCATGCATGTGTTCTGCTTTAAAGTTTCCATCCATTACTACTGTGCAGGTGAACCACCAGCTGGAGAAGGTCAGCATATGAGGATTGCATTATTGGAGCCGCTTACTGGTCCAAATCCTCATTAGTATCAACATTTATTCCAGGCTGGGGGCATGCTGCACAAAATAATGCCAGTCCACCTTTCTCTGCTGACCTGGTTGTCCTGCAGGAATCCATTCCATTTAAGTAGCTTGAGGTATCACCATTTCTGCACAACCCATAGAAGCTCACAGTATCTATCCTGATTGACCCTTCAGACATTCCAACACTTGGAACCAAAATACCAAATCTTACTGGAACTAAGGTGTGGAAACACACTGGATGTGATCTGATGCAACTTGCTGTAATAGTTCATACTGGATGTTCCACATTCCAGGTTGTCCCTCAGGAAGTCATCCAGAACATGCAAATGTGAATGCAGTGCTTGGCTTCTTGAATGTTGAGGGAAATGGTTTGGCTCTGAGTAACTGTATGTATTGGGTTTCTGCAGTCTCACATTCACACCAATTCACTACAATGAAATGAACACCTGTGACATCCATGATGGTGAGATATCTTGACCCCACTGGAGGATGGAGGTGCTTTGGGTTTTCTTCAATATCTTCCACATCTTCCCATTCTTGATCATCCATGGGCAGAGGTTCACCTGCTGCTTGCTGGGCTTGTGCAATCACATGGGGACAGGGTGCTCTGCCATGTCCTAGGTGCATCTGAATGCCAGTCTGCAGGTCTTGATGTGAATGTAATTCTGGGCAACCAACTGATCTCTCACCATGTGGAGGGCAGATTCCTTGTAGAAGTCCCCTGTCCACTGTTGGATCCTAGTGGAAAGGCAGGCTCTCATGACTCTTCTGGCAACATTCTGTGCAGAATAGATAGGGGCTGATGCAAGCAATCCAGGACATCTGTATACCCCATGTCATTGCCACACCAGGTGCAGTTCCTTGGCTCTGGGGAGGCTTCCAGCTCCAGGAGTATCTTCAAGAACTCCCCCTTCTGTGGAACCCATTCATGGATGTAATCATTCTGCATCTGACACACCATGTGAAGTCCACTTTCAGGTTGGTGAACTGCTGCATACCTTTTTCTGCAGTAACATCAGTTGCTGGACCAGTGGGCTCATGCTTTCATGTCCATTGAAGGCTGAATCCACCCATGCATCAAAGTACTTGTGGGAGTGAGACCTTGAATGCTTGGATGGTGAGGATCAGGGAGAATGGACAGGGGTTGTTGGATCTGGCTGTTTGATCACAACTTCTACCAATCATGATCTATATCTACCTCCAGTTCTCTGAGTCTTGACTTCCAGCTGCTTCACCCGATGGCCTGGGGTAGGACCAATCATTCTCATACCATTTTGAGTGCTTCCCTTGGCCATCTGGAGGTTGCTGGTTTCACAGTATGAGGTCAGTTGTTAGAAATGCTACTGCTAGTGCAAGTCACTTTATCATTTAGCTCTATTGATGTCAGTACCTTAACACATGTCAGGGCATAAATACAAATGCAACTACACTGGGCCTTGCACAATGCATGGTGCTGCCTTCTTATTACTGCTCAATCCCTGCCCGCACATTCCCTTCCTGCTGCAACATTACCTGGGTGCTTTGCCTGGATTATGATGGTGAATTTGGATGCTATATTAGCTGATGAAGGTGAAATGAGATGTTTGGTATCAATATAAGTATGGATATGATTGAGGAAGCCAACTGACAGCCTGGATGCAAACCAGGAGCTAATCCACCTTTGGGTGGGATCCTGTCAAAGAGATCAGCCTGATCAGATATTTCAGTCACTTCACAGAGGTCCAAACAAATTCCTTGGCATGACTGCACTAGTACTGAAATGCATTGAGACCAAACAAGGGTGCAAAAAAACTTAGTAGCCAACCATCTATTGTACACCATTATATATCATACCACATCATACTCCATGGAGTCCCAGTATGAATCAGATGCCTGGGATCAGATGGAAAGAGATGATGCTGATGGTGAGCAAGACATAAAACCATCAGATGTGGGGGAAAGGGAGGAAGAAACATTTGAAGTGGAAGAGTTGGAGATCCTTGGGCACTGACACCAGGAATGGAGGCAAGCAGGGAAGAAGAAGAAGCCTGCAGTTCTGCTATCCATATGGGAGGAGATGCAGTGATTGGACAGGATCACAGAGTTGAGAGGGAGCAAAGTCCAGACCAAGTGCAAGGTATGCTCTAAAAGTTCTGATTTGGATGCTCACAATTCAAAGCACCCTTGTAGCTAATACAAGATTGGTTGAAAAAGCCCCTCCAGTCAAAGAAGCCCCACATTACCCTTAGATCCAGTTACAAATACTCTGTGCAGGCAGTGGTCTGTGAATTGTACCAAGAGCAAATACAGGAGAAGCTTGCAAAAATGAAAGTAGAAGAAGGTGATACCCATGGAAGCAAGCAGATCCAACAGTATCAGAATGCATTGACAGCTTTTATTCAGGATGACCTGATGGAGGAACAATTGGCTGCAGCTGAAGATATAGTGGAAAGGTGGAATGGGCAGGAAGGCCCCATGCCAGAGACAAAAGCAAGGTGTGATTGTATGAGGTCAACTTCCCAGTCTTCAATTTATCCTGGTTCCAAGGAATGCAGCCAAGTATGGGTACAAGTATGTCTGAAACTTTGCGATGGAGATGTGGAGGTATTGCAGAATGTGCATAGTGTGTATGGCTGGGTGGAAAAATGAGGAGGGAACTATACAGGTATGCACGTGAGTCCACCATATTCTCCTCTAGGCCTAGGTAAGACTCATGCAATGACAGTATGGACTTCAATAATGAAATCGTGGATGGAATCCCCTTCAATGATGTCTGCACACTGGAAGGAAGCTGGAAAGAGTACCTTGGGGAAACATTTGAGGAACCAGGAACACTGCCCGAGCATGATGGCAAGTCAAGTCCCAAAAGTGCTCAGAAAAAGACAGTGGCCAAGGCAACAAGGACCAGCAAGGTTGACTCCATGAAATTGGTGAAAAATGCTGATGGAGAGATTTGGATAGGAGAAATTGCAGGCCTTAGCCAGGACCAACTAAAAAAAATGGTTTGCAGATTTGTGACTGCTCACTACTGTGAGTGGCCAGAGTATTTAGTGTCCTCAATCTCTGATGAGTGCTATCAGGATTAGCATGCAGAAATCCCTCATCAGCAGTGCCATTCAAGAATTTTGGTCATCATCAAGCAGAAATGATAGCAGCCCACCATCTTCCTGAAGGATTTACCTTCAACTGCAACCCAAGTCACATGTGGATGACAACAGCTACCCAGCTGCTGTCCTTTTGGCACAAGTGACAGGAATCCCATCCAAATGATGTGTTTGGATTTCAGGAATGGATCAATTGATCTGGTGAGCTGCAGCCACTGGTGGATAGAACTTTGGTACCCCTCCAGGTTGTGAGGCAGCAGAAATACTGAAAGACACCTGCCCCAAAATGCAAAAAGAATCCTGGAAGGAAAAATGTCAAGGGCAAGGGTAAAGTGCAGGAAGAGGGAGTGGCAGATGATAGCATGGATGATAGTGTGGACAACAGCATGGATGACAGTTTGGATGATCACAGCAAGGCTGAGGCAAGCGATGTTGGAACAGATGGTCCCTCCACTAAAAAGGTGCACCATGTGTGATTTTCATGCATGACAGATCAGCACTAATGTGATTCTGGTCTTCAGGTATCTGGCAGGAGGCAAAACTGTGCCAAGACACCATTCCCTTCTCATTCCTGCTCAAATCCCCCACCAGCTGATGGTTCCCATAGTGAGTGGCTCTCTGCACCTCCAGCCCATGCAAAGACCCTGGTGCATTGTCTGCAGAATAAAGTGCTAACTGACTATAACGGGCAGGAAAGAAACAGCCATGATTCCGATGATGAAGCTGATGAAGACACTTATTTGCCCACCCTATCCAATTCAAAGAAAACAGCAACATCCCTGAATAGTGAGCTTCCCACTGTAACTTGTATTCGCAGCAAACCCCGATCTGCACTCAGGGAATGAGTACACAACTGAACTACAGGACCACTCAGAATACACAGATGAAGATGGATTGGAGAGCATTCCTTTCACTGACCACCCAACTGAGGATGGGGTCAACAAGCAGAAAAAAAGGTGGAAAGCTGAAATCTGCCCTGAAGCACACACACCAGGCAAGTTCGGTCATGTTGAATCAGCTGTTATGGCTAACAAGTTTGCACTGTATATTAAGCAGGCTCTGTCAGAATCAAGTGAGCCAGACATGAATCAATGTTGACCTGGGGCCAAATACTTGTCCAAGTCTGACCATAATGGATCTGTGACCACCAATGCAGCATCTGCAAATGTGAAACAGGGCATCCCTGGGAGCACCTGGAAGTCACCTCGTGTCAGAAAGGCCCCTGCAAGGCCAGATGCAGATGTTCCATCTCCTGATGCAAAGAGATCATACAAGCAAACAGGCAGCAATCAGAAGTGGAAGTAGTTGTTGAATCCCTCAAACAGTCAGAGCAGAAACCTTTTTTGGAACTCATGTATGGTCTATAGAGGGCTTAGCCTAGTGTGACACATTAGAATACAAGTGTATGGCATGTACAGTAGCTCATGACACCATGGTGGTTGTGAGAGGCATCTTTGATATCAGAGAGAGGGATAGTTAAGCAGGACGGTTGAGCACGACAATTGAACAGAGAGCTGAGCAGGACAGATCTACATATTGGCCATGTGGAAGTGACTGGTAGCTATCTATGTAGGGAGATATTGCTGCTCATCTCCCATGTATTGCTGTTACCCAAAATTTGGCTCTGTCTGCCATTGTTCCTACAAGTTTAAATCTTGATTGATCATCAACCTATCAGTGAACCCATCATTGTCAAATATGTCCACCGAACAGTCCTGCCAAGTTTATTTCCATCATCAAGGTGAGGTTGTCTTCATTGTTGGATCCAGCAACCTATGCCATCCACAGCTAATGTAAGACCAATTGAGCCAAGGCAATCTAGCTCCCATGTGAAGCAGTCCAAAAATCTGGAGGAGATGCTAGTACAACTGTGTGAGTTGTGAGAGCCAGCCCCTCTGCCAATTGTCTCAAGTGGAAGGGTGGATACGGTGGGGTCGAACATGGATATTGTGGCCAGTGAGTGAACATGATCTCTCTCCAAGCTAAACAACAAACATTCTTTCACTATAGATTCATGTGAAAGCTTGGTGGATCAGTTCCTGCAGGAAAGGGAGCCAACTGCTCTGGCAGAGGGCAGAATCACAGCTGGTGAGTTGGCACAATTGCCCTTCAAGCTAACAAACAAACTAATTTTCTAGTAATAGATCCACATGACAACTTGATGAATTGGTTCCTGAATGAATGGGAACCAACTGCTCCCCCAGTGGATGGTATGAACATGGATCTACTCAAGCAATTGCTGAATGTGTGGGAACCAGTGGCACTGCCAGTCATGCCCAAGAAATTAAACAGGATGGACAGGTCTTCAACACCTGCACAAGATGTTACTATGCAGGTCGATTTTCTGGAAGACTTGCAGAATGTGCAGGAACCATCTCCTCTGCCTATCACCTGCAAATCATCATATCTGAGGGACCAATCTCCTCAACCTGATTCTCTGACTAACCTGCTTGCTCAATTGCAGGATATGAGGGAACCAACACCTCCCCCACTCATTTCAAATGTGCCCATCAAATCTTTTGACTTGGCAGCAGATGAGGACAATGGCACAAACCATTTGACTTTTGGCATGCCTGAACAATCAGAGATGAGGGATCTTTTTGAGGAAATATGCAATGGTGAGCATTTATTTGGTTCTATTCATGTGATCAGTGATATCCATCGATTATGTAGGTGAACTTCCATCTGCACAGCAATCTCTTCAAATGGAACAATGAGGATTGGCACCTGTTCTGCATTGTGATCAAGGTATGGGCATGAGCTTAATCTGATACACCTTTGACATTGATAATTTTAGTCCTGCACACCTTACATGCCACAGTATCTCACTATTGTGGAAACACCACTCCCAGTGACATGCCGTTTGATCCCACCCTCGATAGGCACCTTGTGCAGGCTGTGAATGCCATTGCGAGAGAATTGGGCACAGCTGCAAGGGACCAGTATGGTGCAGCCTCTCAGGGCCTTTGACTTGTCAATATGCTCAATTTGATGGAAGTCATTCATTATCTGTGTTCTGCCTTTGAAAATTGTCCCAAGCCATTCATCACCAGCCAATCACACCCATCTTGCCAGTCTGTGGTAGAGATGGGTATCCTCTACTTGGCATTCTGGATCGAGGTGGCCTCTGTACATCTGAAGCAGACTGCCCATATCATGGGATGGCTGTGCATTGGTTTGCAAACCTAGCAATGGACTTGGTAGGTTTTACATCAATTTTTCACAATGTGGGACTGATACATAATTCCTTCAGAATCAGCTTAATAGCTTGATTCTGGTGACAGTGTTGCATGCCAGTTATACTCCTCCCCTCCCAGCATGCTACCATGTGTACCTCAGACACCAAGATGATGAGGTTAGCTTCCACAATCAAATGCAGCTAATTCCCCTTAGTGCATTTAGCATAATCGACAATATCAGCACCATCATCCCACATTGGACCCCACATGCAGCTGATCCCAATTCTGGCTTTGCATTCCCTTGGTGGCTATATCATTCAGAGGAATATGCAGTGGATTCCCAAAGATTGCAAGGCAAGGGATTGTTTTCCATGGCCTGGGATTTTTTTAAGGTATGCCATGTATTCTCATTGCTGCAAATAGTTGATGATGGCCCAGGGCTTATGGCCATTGCCTGAGGTGCAATCACAGACTGTCTCAATGGACATATTGAGGAGCAGGTAAACTACTGCATTGAAAATATTTGGAAATATGCTGATGTTGTCAATGGTTGGGGTCAACAAATTGACCATTTCTACACTAGGTGGTGCACATTGTGTGGGTTGTTGGGCATGCTGCTTCAATAGTTTACATGTTTTTGACTGTGGAGTTGGTTGAATATACATTGCTGTGAATGTCAATCATTTATGAGATGCTGCCCATTCACATGATGTCTGAACCCCTGCCCATCCCCACAATGTCTGACAATCCACCCATCTGCATGATGGCCTGAGTAGGTTTATTTTTTTTGCAGTTTATGATGCACAACCTTTAGCTCTGAGTACCTGCCCAATCTATGATGTCAAAGCACCTGCCCATTTGCAAAATCTTGGAAACACCACCCATCCAAAGTTCAAAAGCCAGCATATCCTAATAAAATATGAGATCCACATTGCCTACTAAATCTTACATTAAATTTTGCAGCTTCAAATCAACAGTTCCCCAGTTGCAACTGGTCTAGGTAGTAGGTCATCCATCCACAGTGATTGACACACGGGAATGTGCACTGACTGATGTACATTGGCACACATGTAGTATGCCAGGCATGCTCTGTCACCATCTACAGCTCCCACCCCATGCTCCAATGCTGAACCTGAAAATGCAATGATCATCCCTGGGTTGTAGTGCAGCCACAGATTCAATGTTGGAATGACAAAGTCCAAGGGCAGGTAGTCACCCACAGTTACCAGCATGTCATACCATGGATCCCATCCATTGATATCCCTGTGGTAACAAGTTGCCTGATTCACCATCATGGACATGCTGCTATATGTGGAGATCCATATCAGCAGTATGGAGCTCATATCTGAATCTGCCTGCTGTTCTGCCTGTTTTCCAAGGCAGATCAATGCTTCCCTGCCATCTGCATACATTTGCAGATGGATGACATGCAGGATCACAGATAACAGGGCATTGGTGTCAGACATTTGGTCAACCCATTCCCTTGTAGAAGTGTTTTCCATCCTGGATTTGAGCAGCTGTGAGGCTTCTGGGAAGCCATTTTGGGGCTTCAAGACAGATGAGCGCTCTATTCACAAGGAAATAAATGATCACCCACCCCATGACCCTGTTGAAACCATGCAGGTGACAGGTTGATGGCACCTTTCAACTCAGCATTATTGCAGAAATATGACTCATCCATCTGCCATGCATGTGGGGAAGCCTTTATGCCCTCCCACAGTGGTTCCCTCAGAAGATGAAGGCAGTTCCATATGTTGGCCTGCCAGTGCATCAAGTCAGTAGAATATGAGATTCTCCATTCCCTTACCCTTCTTTTTGGGCTGAGAGCATCTGGCAAATACCAAATGTGGATGGTGTTTGAGTCAGTCACCAGAATGGATGGCTCAGTCACTTCCACATATCTCTCAGCAGCTTCTGCATCACAGGTTTTTCCACCCTGATTTTTCCCAATGTTGACTGTGGAAAGATGAAAACTTCCATCACACCATTATGATGGACTTACTTGGGCAACAATAGGCCTGTGAGATTACTGATGATATGCAATCCACTTCACATAACACTGGAAATGGAATTGATATATCTGGAAGGGTGCAAGGTCCACTAAATACCTCCTCTTGAAATCTGGCTTTCATGTATGACACAATGCAGTCTGTTAGTTCCATTCACCATCTGTGGGGGGTTTAAGACATGTCTTGCATAGTATTCATGCTTGGGGTGGATCAGGTCAGAGTTGTATAGTGGGCGAGCCACTTGCAGCTTGTTGGAAAATTATGGCATGTCAGGATGCTTGCCTCAATATTTTGCTGTGATCTGATCAATATGTTGTGACACTATACATGCTATTGGTGTTGGGCCTGTCTTATGTTGCAACAGGGGTGGATCTTACTAGATGGACCTGTCCTTGTTTTATGGTGATATAAAAGATATTACTGAAGGGCCTGTCCATACATTATGACCATATAAATAATACTGCTGAAGGGCCCATCCTTATGTTGTGACTGCATAAATGACACTCTGAAGGGCCCTTCCATATTTTGTGATGCTATAAATGATATTACTGATGGGCCTGTCTTTATGTTGTGACAGGGGTGCATCTTACTAGATGGGCCTGTCTATGTGCTGTGATGCTGTAAATGATATTACTGACAGGCCTGTCTTTATGTTGCGACAGGCATACATGTTGCTATTGATGGGCCCATCCATGTGTTGTGACTGTGTAATTGATATTACTGACAGGCCCATCTCATGTTGTGACAGGGGCATATCTTACTAGATGGGCCCTTCCATATGTTGTGATGCTATAAATGATATTACTGATGGGCCCATCTTTATGTTGTGACAGGGGTGCATCTTACTAGATGGGCCCATCTATGTGTTGTGACACTGTAAATGATATTACTGATGGGCCTGTCTTTATGTTGCAACAGGGGTGTATCTTACTAGATGGGCCTGTCCATCTGTTGTGACAATGTAATTGATAATACTGACTGGCCTGTCTTTATGTTGTGACATGGGTGCATCTTACTAGATGGGCCCATCCATGTGTGGTGACCCTGTAAATGATATATATTGAAGGGCCTGTCTTTATGTTGTGACAGGTACATCTTACTATGGACAGGCCCACCCATGTGTTGTGATGGTATAAATGATATTACTGATGGGCCTGTCTTTATGTTGTGACAGGGGTGCATCTTCCTGGACATGCCTGTCTATGTGTTGTGACACTGTAAATGATATTACTGACAGGCCCTTCCATATGTTTTGATGCTATAAATGATATTACTGATGGGCCCATCTTTATGTTGTGACCATGTGATTGATATTACTGATGGGCCCATCTATGTGTTGTGACACTGTAAGTGATATTACTGACAGGCCTGTTGTGAGTCAAAGTGTGGTTCAGTGGTGAAAACCAACCAAAACCAACACAAAAGACAAAAAGAGTGAGTGGTGGTGTTCCTATGCAGTACCTAGATAGTATAACCTGTTCTTTGGGAGGGTTTTTGTGAGCTACAACACTCAAAGACGAGTGCTGAGGGTTGGGGGTGCTCTTGATGATGAAGAAGCAGGAATGTGAGAGAATGCAATAGGGTAGACTTCTGTCAGCCTACAGAAGGATGGATGATGACTTAATTCGATATCCTAAGCTGCACTGAGCTCAGGGAGGGCTTGGAGTGAAGTATATTGATGATAGACAAGGATAAGCAAAGTAGATGATAGTTAGACCCTTAATAAAGTCTCAACTATTGAAGCTGCTGAATGAATTACTGAGTGATGATAAAATGTGAGCAAGAGGGGCTCTCTGATGTCTTTTTTTTTTGCTATCTAAGTACAGTGATTTATATACAGTACAGGGGTGTTGCCCTTGGAAAACAAGGTGCAAACACTTGGTAAGTGATTGGTAACTGATGAGTAAGGAATGTAAGTGATGGGTAATTGTCTTGGAAAGCATTGGAAAGCATTGGTAAGGATTAACAAGCCAAAAAGCGAAGAATCAGTAAGCAAAGTCAAAAGATTGGTAAGTATTGGCAATAGGTGAGTCAAAGACAGTCAGAATGTCAAAGTATGAGTCAAGTAATGTCAGGAACTGGGAAAGCACACTGGAATCATATTAGGGGGAGGCTGTGCATGTCACATCTCAAAGAGATCACTTCTAGGCCAAGGTGGGATGACAGAGAGGCAGTGCTGACCTGATGCTGATATAGTACATCCAAAAGTGGACAGGGTGAGTCAGATGTCAACAGGGGTCAAGCTTTGGGGGTCTGTGGGGTGACAGGAGCATAGGGGATCACAACTTTCCCCCCCAAACCATCCTCTCAGGGAAGTAAATAAAAACATCATGAATGAGGCTCTGTTGGAAGAGAGGATGAAGGGGGAGTGTCCTCTGCTGTATCTTGCAACAAGGAGGCAAGATGTGCATCATACTCATCATGGATGCAATCAGGGAGAGTGGAGAACAGTAGATTATACTGTAGCTGTCACAATCTTGGAAGAATGATGGACAAGACTGATATGAAGACATTGCAAGGAGCAGGGAGGAAGGATCCATATGCTTCTTGTACTGGAGAGACTGAAATGACCACATAAGACCTTTCCAAGTGAATGACAGACCTGAGGTGACCAAAGAACATCCTCCTAGAGGTCATACTGACAAAAAGAACATGCTGTCCAAGCTGGATGGGCTGAGAGGGCACAGACGAGGGTGGGATGTACCTGGATGCTTCAGTATGGAAGCTGGTAGGAACTCCTGGTAGATATATGTAGCCATGGTCCCTAGCAAAGGGGACAGGCAAAATGATTGATGTAGAGGCAGCCATATCAGAAGAATTTAGCAAAATGAGTGTCTTTTTGGAGGGAGTGCTGTAGAAATGTGTGGAGTGTGCAAATCCTTTCCAATTTTGGAAGGTAAGATTGCATGGCTGAGCACTACAAGCAAGTGTGGGAATGGTCTTGGTATCTGCAGAAATGGCAGAGATATGTCGAAAACTGGAATGCTGTACACAGGTGCTTAAGAATTTTAGCCAGCACTTAACTTGCTCCCATTCTTTTTCTCTGGCACTGATGACTTGTTCTTGTGTGAGGGATGACTGCTGACATTCCTGGCTGTCCTGCTTTGTGTGAGGGCTATGGTCTCAATCTCCATTCATCAGCTGTATCCATGTCCACCTCACCAAACACCTTTGGTGTGTGACACTGTCTTTATGTTGCAACAGGCATATGTGTTGCTATTGACAGGCCCACCCATGTGTTGTGACCATGTAATTGATATTGCTGAAAGGCCCATCTTTATGTTGTGACATGGGTGCATCTTACTAGATGGGCCCATCCATGTGTTGTGACCCTGTAAATGATATATATTGAAGGGCCTGTCTTTATGTTGTGACAGGTACATCTTACTATGGATGGGCCTGCCCATGTGTTGTGATGGTATAAATGGTATTGCAGAAGGGCTCATCCATATGTTGTGATGCTATAAATGACATTACTGACAGGCCCATCTTTATGTTGTGGCAGGGATGCATCTCACTAGATGGGCCTGTCTATGTGTTGTGATGCTGTCAATGATATCACTGATGGACCCATCCTTATGTTGCAACAGGCATACATCTTGCTATGGATGGGCCCA